CAGGGTGTAACAAATTGCAACATGTGGACACTGGCAGCTGGGATGGCCCCTAGAGTTCTCAAGCCTCTGGGACTAGCACAGTTGTGGGGCATTTTAAGATTTTGAAACTCCTCTAATCTCAATCCTAGGGGCTCCAGGTATCTCATGGGGAGGATAGAGAAGGGAGTAGAGATGGCGGTGCCTGAACTCGCAGGAGTTCCCTGTGCTCTTGGAGCTTGTTCTGAATTGCCTGGCTTTGAACCAACCACAAGGACCGTGGCCTTGAGCTCCAGCTTTCTCTGTCTGCTGGGGTCCTATCTCTGTAGAGTTATATGCAGGAATTGAAAGAGGACTTGTTTGCAGGTGTCATGGTCAGGACAATAAATGGACTTACAAAGTCTTAGACAGTTGGAAACTCCCTGTGGCTCGCTCTGGGTCTGTATTTTGGAGATGCTGTGGCCACCCACGGGCACTGCTGCAGGGGCACCTGAGCACGGGATTCCTCCTGCCCAAGGACTTTTGAATGAGTTTTCAGTTCTGAATGCTTTTATCCCAAAGAAACGTTTGTTCTTAAAAAAGCAGTTGACATTTGGGGGTTGAATCACAGGGCATTATGGCAGGCTGAGCGATACTCCGGCTCTGTTCCCCCTGGCTCCACACTCCTCTTTCTTTTGGTGAACAGGGACCCTGAGGGAAGTTACCATTCCTGGTGTCTCAACAGCCCTCAGCCACCAGAGCAGAATTCAGTAGATGGAGTCTTCTGGGAGCCAGTGACGTTTTCTCTTCCTTCTGGAGATAAGTCGTTGGTATTTAGACAGGATTATGGGTTGTCCGAACTGACATGCTGGGTTGACCACCACTAGCCTCTCCTTCCAGGACGTGAGTGAGGCCCCATAAGGCCAGGGGCTCCCAACAGTCCTCTCTCTGCTGGCCTCTGACTCTGCCTGCTTCCCACAGGGATGCTGGGCCCTTCCTGAACCTGTTTATACCATTCCTACTTGCTACTGAGATGATTTAAATATTGAGTGTGCGTAAACTAATGAGGCAAGAGAGAATTGTTATTTTTGTGAGTTAGATGCTTTGGCGAGAGTAGGGTACTGCAAAATATTGAATGTTAAAGAGGCTGAGGCAAATGAACTATGTATCCAGAAGGATTCTGAAATTAGATTCTATCACAAGACTCCACTCCACCTTAAAGAAAGGAAAGCTGGTCTGTTTCACGGAATAGAACTTGGACCTGTGTAGCAAAGGTGCCTATGTTCAAAGACGACATCTGGGCCTAACCTCAAGAGACTGGCCTAGCTTGAAAATAATTTAAACACAAGAGTTCAATGTATGAGATTCAAATTAAAGTAACATGTTTAATGGGCAGCGCCTGTGGCTCAAAGGAGTAAGGCGCCCGCCCCATATGCCGGAGGTGGTGGGTTCAAACCCAGCCCCGGCCAAAAATAAAAAATAAAAAAAATAAAGTAACATAAGTTTAAGTTAGGTACACTTCACTTTTTATGAACTCCTTGTTGACTGGTTTTTTAATTAATGGATGAGCTTTTACTCCCTTTATCACCTGTTTCTGCAGACCTCAGAAAACTTATTCAGTATCAATAACCATTGTAACAGCAACTGTTAAACTTGGTTATTTCCCTTATAAAGTGACAGGAAATTTGGGAAACAGAGCTCGCTGAGCTGCCTATGTTCAACTGGGTGGTAAAAAACAAGTCTTTCTTTGAATATTTGTTGGAAGGCTCCAGGGGGCAGTGAGAGTCCAGCAGAAATATTTATCTACAGAATGTTCTGGGACCTGCCCACTGAGCCTTTCTGAGTAACTTCTGTCTACAGCAGGAGTTTGGGGCTCGTGGGAATTTTTTATTGTTGTTATGACTGTGAGGGGGCGGGGGCTTTTAAAGGATTTTCTTGCAAGAGTGGTCTAGATGTCCACTTTTTCTCTAGTAGCATCTCTCTCAGATGCTTCTCGAATTCATTCAGGGTTGACTGGAGGGCCTGTGAGTGTGCAGGGGGCCTGTCTCTATTTGGTGTTTGAAGATGTGTGCCGTCAAATCGCCAGCATGAGCAGTCGTGTCTTCAGTGACTACCAGTCAACACGCCTCTTCCCAGCTCATACGAGATAACCAAAGGGGTCACAATGCTTCAGTCACTCATTCTGCCAGTCTCCCTGAATTTTAGCCAATTCCTGTGGTGCCCGGACACTTACAGTCCTTTTGGAAATTGGCCAGTGGTTGACATTGGGGATCCATGCAGAATGTTGCCTAAGACAGTTCAAAATAGTAACCACTTCAGACTAATTCCTGAAGAGACAAATTCCTGTGCTTCGTGGACTTGTTAAATTACTTTTAATATCATTTTTTATGTATGTTAGTTCTGGACTTAAGAGCTAAATATATTTAAATTATTTTAGTTATGTTGGACAATGTCTTAATGAGTTCCTTTTTAGTCACCCACAAAGTGTTAGTAGGTTTAGTCTACAAAAGCTCATTCTCTGAACCTTCTCTGGAAGTCCTTGCACCCTTCTGCCTTGTTGTCTTAGTATACCAAAGTAACACTGACCTCTGAGGACACGCTGGGCCGCTCACCAAAGTAACCCTGACCTCTGAGGACACGCCGGGCCGCTCACCAAAGCAACACTGACCTCTGAGGACACGCCGGGCCGCTCACCA